CTGCCAGTCTGGAGTGATTATTGAAAAATTACTTTTTAGTGACATTTAAAGTGTTGCGCCATCGCACAGGAGACCGACGGTGAAGTTGGCATCCGCGTTTTTGTTAAAGAGTGCAATGTGGCAGGCAAAGACCTGCTGAGACGACGTGTTGCAATCAAAAGTATTTTTGAAAAACACGAAACGCAACTTTGCAGCTACGCACACACACACACACACACACACACACACACACACACACACACACACACACACACACACACACACACACACACACACACACATCCACACACACACACACACACACGTGCACAAAGCATCGGCGCAACACAAGCTGCAGAGTGTTACCGTTGAAGCCTTTCCTCAGCTTGTAGTAGGGCGGGTGAGCGGGCGAGCAGGTCAGCAGGGCATCCAGACTCCGAGCCCGGAAGCTGCGGCGCTGCTCCTCATCCTCATCCTCCTCATCGCCGGCGCAGAACAGCGTCATGCCGGGCTGCAGAGACCCTGACACCTGTGACACCGCTGGAAGAAAAACGGGGGTCATAGGAATGCGGAGAGGGCAAAGAGATCGCTCTCAAAATAGACATTTTAATGACGTTAAACTAATACGTAATGCAGTGGCATGTTTCAGTTGTTTGGTTGTGTCAATTTGTGATGCTTTTGGCTGACAACCAGCCAAAACAGCAGGAGCAAACCCTGCAGATGAACTGCTCCTGTGTGAGTCTAACGAGGCTCATTTCAGAGCCAAATTAGTGAAATTAATGACCTTTTTGATCCTATTCTAATTGAATAAGATGTTAATCAGCATCTTGCAGCATTGAGCTCCCGCTCATGCAAACAGACATCAGATATCAGAAATGCTCCCTGCATTTCTGATATCAGGGAACACAAAACCTCCTTCCTTCATGAAACCAGACTGAGACAATTCTGCTGTGGGTTGGTTCAAAAACCAAAACCATTCCTGAAAGAACAAACACTGACAGAATATATTAGTTTTTTTTTTTTTTAATCTAAATAAAGACGCTAACTTACACTTCTTAAGTATTTATTAGAATTGCCTTTTAGTGAATCTTGGAGCGATCCTCCTGACAAAACTGAGTGAAGTTTGCAGTTGGCCTTTCTCACACACACACACACACACACACACACACACACACACACACACACACACACACACACACACACACACACACACACACACACACACGCACACACACACACACACACACACACACACACACACACACCCCACACACACACACGCATGCACACACACACCAACACACACACACACCCACACACACACACACACGTTTTCAGCTCTGCTCTCAGATTATAGGAGTGAGATCTGGGCGTTATAAAAACAGAGGTTTTTATAAAGTTTTTTTTTCGCTGCAGTATTTTCACACAATAGTCTTTCTTCATGATGTCATCTATGTTTTACGTGTTCCCTGCTCCTTCTGCTGCATACGACCCACATAACATGATCCTGCCACCACCTTACCTCACTGTTGGGATGGCTTAGGGTTTGGCGTCTTTTTGCTTCTATTTTCAGGTGGATTTCTATGTTGTGCTCATTTTTATGTCCGGCTCACGGATTGCATTTGTTTGAACAAACATTTGTGGCACGTTCTGCAATTATTCCCCTGGCTTCATGGTTCACAGTTCTCTTCCTGATAACTTGATTGCTTTTAAGGTTTCCATTAAGCCAAAGGAGAAGTGTGTTTGAGGCGCTGCCTCCAGCAGGTGTGTGTCCCTTTAATTCAAAGTCTGTAAATGAATCAGTTAGAAAGCCTTGAAGTCATTCCCTGGGTTTTTGTTTTAAAAAAATGAATTGTAATCTTGTAGTATTTAACTGTGAAAAAAGTAGTGCAAAAACAAACTTCTCTCTAAAATAGTTTTTACAGTTTTTGGCATTTAGCAAATAGAAAGAGGTGCTGTAATCCTGGGTCGGGTGCGTGTCGCTTTGCCTCCCACCTTCAGTCATTTCGGCTCCAAACACCAGGGCCCGAGCTCCGGACACGCCAACGCAGTGCAGCAGCGATTCCTGCCGAAGGTTGTGGTTGATGAACGCGGCCTCCACACCCACCATGGCCAGCCCCAGCCACAGGGCGACCACCTGCGGATGACTCTCCATGTACAAGGCCACCACATCCCCCTCAGCCCAGCCCTGGGCTAGAGCCCAGTGAGCCACGGCGTTGCATCGCTCCTGCAGGGATTTGAAACTCCAGACCTGGAGGAAATGCACACGGGAAAGGAAATAAGTTTCACTCAGACGTTTTGTGGATTTTGCACCAGTTTCAAAATGTTTTTCCTCGCCTCTCCTGTGGCCTCAAAGATCAAGGCGGGTTTGTCTGGATGCTGCAGCACCGTCTGAGCAAACAAGGCAGGGACGGTTCTTCTGTTTCGCACGTTTCTGTGCATGGAAAGCCTTACTTTTGCAATGGCAGCCAGACACCTGTTGAAAAGAGGGGGCACAAAAACTGAGGGAGCGTCGGAAAGTCAGAAAGGACGGGAGTAAGACGTGCACAACACAATACTCGCATACATCAGGTCTCTCTTGATGGTGCACGCAGCAACGCGAATGTTCTTCCAGGACCCCGTCCAGACCACAAGGACGCCCAGCCCTGCAATCAGGCCGGACAGCCAGGGGACGGAGACGAGCCTCAGGGGAGCCAAGAAGACCAAGCTGGCCAGGACACAGATCAGCGGCTTCATTGTCTGCAATGAGAGGAAACAACAAACAGGATTCAAATAGAGTACGAGAAAAAAACACATACAAAAAAAACAAATAGATCAAAAGATACAGAGAGACGGTTTACTTACCTGTGCAGGGATTTTATAAAAGGCTCCACTGGGAAGGAGGATCCAGATGTAATTAATGCAGAAGGTGAGCAGCAGCAGCTCAGAGCAGATGTTTCCAGAACAGCTGTCAGGAACAAAGTGTCTGATAAGCAGCGCATAGCAGAGAGCAGAAGAGCAGGTTGAAACTCAGCTCCAGCGTCACAGTGGGGTGTGTTACTCATCTGCCCCGGGAGCCAAAAGCAAGAGCTGTTTTTATTTTTTTTTCCTTCCCTTTACTTTATGGGTCTTGTCAGAATAATGCCAGTGGAGCTCGGTGATGGCTTCCAGGAAAAAAAAAAAAAAAGGTATGTGGTTAAGGAGCAATTTGCTACTAAATAATGACTCAAATAGTGTATTTGAACCTGCTTTTGTCCAATGTTTGGGATTATAGCGGAAACCCACAGTGATTTAAACTAGTGAAGCCAATTCCTGTTTTTAAAAAGGTCTGAATTTAATGGAAAAAATAAATACATACAAAAGTTTATGTTGTATTACTATTTATACAACAGATACACAGGACTACACGTTATAAAGACAGTTTAAATAAATAATTAAGAGCCCCAAATTTATTAGCCTGACCCATTTCCTACTGATCAGTCCAGAAATGGGACCGTTGCACTCCGGAAGTGAAGGGGGCGCTATTTCCTTTATTACCTGCAGCTTGCTGTTTTTATTGTCTTTTGAAATCTGTGATATATCTTCACGTTCAGGAAGGAGTTTCACTCTCAGTATGCATTTTGAACTTCTCTCTTTTATTTACTTCAGCGCGGCTCACAGTTTTTAGCTAGTTTAAGAAGACCCAGTGATCTTGGGGTTACCCAACTTGAGGTTGGGTGCAACCTCTAGTTAGGTAGAGGTTGTGGAGTTATAATGTTAAAACTTAACATTCTAACTTGAGATTCAACTCAAGTCAAAACATCATCTGAACTCAAGTTTTAACGTTTCATCCCCTCAGCTGGTTTGGTCACATGAGCTGCAGACTTTCAGACAATCTTATAGGAAACCTTTCAAAGGCAGGTACAACAGCAGGTAAATGGTGGTGGAACCAGAAACAACTCTGTCCCAACTGTTTGCTGAAAGAACGTGGAAGACAGCAAGAAACATTTCAGCAGAGAGCATCCATCCTCGTTTTTTCTTTTTTGCCTGAGCTCATGAAGGCATTACTGTTTTCCTCTGGCAACTTCCCGGTAAGCTTCATACGTCATGGACAAATATTGGGCGATTGGGTAAAATGCAAAGGCTCAACCAGTCGATGGCAGACTCTCAGAACGAAGCGAAGCGTAGAAGAAGAGAGTGGTTTTTAATCAGGCTGATTTGTACAACGATAATCCCCATGATGTACGTGAGCTTCTAGCCAGACGTCTGAAAACAAATTAGGAGCTTACAAAAGAAAACTCTGTGTCACATCTAGTGTCAGTACATCCTTGTGTGGTTTCTTCAGTTTATTTAGCCCACTGTCTAAGACTTTTGGAGACCCATGAGTGTGAGATGACTCATTTCCTTGCATTTCATGGAGAAAAACCCCAATCAGATACTATACAATACAACTACGTGTACAGGTGTGTAGAAGACATGTTTTTACACACCTTCTGCAATCATTTCCATGACAGCGAAGCTGTGAGGTAGCTGATTGGTGCATTTCTCTGATTCATAGGTTTGTGGCTGATTGTTTAGCTTTTTTCCAGTCAAACCCAGACTTGCAGTTCAGACTCGCCGCTGTGCGCCGATTGACCTTCGGGTCTAGGGGTCGACGTGCATCCATAGTCGCTAAACCAAAATAGGGCTTCTGATGAGACTCGCTTATCAGAGTAAAAGGATCTTTAAAAAGAACAACCTTTAAGCAGCTATGAAACACTTTTCATTGAGTAAACATTTCTTTGTTGAAAGGCCGTTTTATTGGCCTAATATGTTATTCTAACCTTCACTGATGTCTTTTTACGAGGTGTAAGGAGAGAAAAAAAAATCATTTTAATAGAAATAAAGTCCTAAAACACCAGTCTGTGTCCAATTAATAAAGTGAGTGTATAAGTCACTTTATTTACTTAATAAATTGAATTAGTTACTCACTTTATTAAGTAAATGAACTTTTCAGTAAGACGCAAATCCATCGAATTAGTCAGTAAAGAGAGTTTTGATAATGAGAACACACATGAATCAGATTTCTCACATGAAGAAAAGGCTTTATTCAGAAGTGTGGACAATATCTATTGACGAAAACGTACCAAATAGTGTAAAGTGAACCAAAGTAAAAAAATAAGCATATTTATCAACGTAGCTATACTATATTCTAACAATAAGGAATCTTACATTCATTTTAAAAAAGCTGCACATTGCTTCTTTTTTTTCTTTTGTTTTTTTTTTTTTTGTAGCATAAATACAACTTTTTGCTTTGCAGAAATAAAAACGGTAAAAACAACAATAAAAACCATGACAATTACAAACCGCAGAACAGCTGGTAAAACAGAGTTAACATTTAAATCCGAACATAAATAGGAAGATAAAACAAGACGCAGCTCCGAAAGCCTCTATTCTGAAAAAGCATTTTCCATGTCTGATTCAACAGATGCGAATGACGGAAAATTAAATTGCATAAAACTATTAAGGTTCTTCTTCTATTATTACATAACAATATGAAAAACCTACAGTTGTACTGAATATTTCTTTTTTTACAACAGAAAAGTGCAATGATACGAAACGAACTCAGGTCTGCAGAAATCTTGCGTCTGCCTAAGCTCTTATTTCCTTTCAGCGACTAACATTTCCTGGACACACGCGCAACTTCTAAAATAAGAACACGGTAATTAAATGGACATTTATTCAACAAACGCTGCATGATTGGGGGAAGTTGCTGCAGCCTTATCAGCAGGGTGGGCCCGTTTATGTTGATTACCGAAGCTCTTATCGTGTCCCATGTTTACTTGGTTGGCAACTGCAATAATAATAACAATAACAATAATAAAAGAGCAGGAAAGCTCAGTCATAAGCCAAGACGGAGGTTTTAACATTAGCCACGAGTGATTAAAGCAATACACATCACCCATTTTGTTCGAAATCAAGAGGCCGTGTGTGAGTTTCCGTCCCGTTATAAGCAAAATATTTCATTACAGTACGTGAAAACAAATACCACAGGAATAGCCCGGCGAATAAGTACCAAACACTTCGGCAATTTCTCCAGGCGGATGTGTTTCTGATTTGGCTGTTGCCACGACATTCACCCCAGACGTTGGCAGTGGCCAAACTTATACAACAAAATCGCAACAAATATGTCAGGAAGTATGTGTAACATGTGTAATGAGAATAGGGATGAAATGCATTAAAATTAATACATTGTAAAATAAAAAAAGAGGCCTAGACACTAAAGGAACTTGAAGAAATCTCAGTGTTTTCAAAGAATTCCTGCCCCCTAGTGGTGGTGGTCGATATTGACAGGTTCAGTGGACCAAACTTAGAAATTTCAGAGGTCCAAGAAAAAATCTGTAAATATCTGAAAATGTCCAAAAACATAAACGGAAACATGCAGACGGCCTCATTTTATTCAATATGAATGAATTTCTTCTTTTCTTAAATTGTGAATAATTTGACGTTTAAGGAAACTGCTATACATTTAGTTTACGTTCAGTTTTTCACTCTGTGTTGGAAAAAGTGTGTTTTAATCCAGGGTGACGGTAAACATTTGAGGATAACTTGGATTGTTACCAACATCTGGTGTGAATTTAATGGCCCCCCCATCATCACATTAGCAGTATACTTTTTGACGCGTCCTGTACTTTTTTCCCACCACGGTACGCACAAAACAAACAAACATTACTATTTGTACAGGTAACATTTACATAAAATACAGTGCAAACTATCTGCTCACGTGTGTATTAACTTCTGTTGCCTGCGTTTTGAAAAAGAATATGTCTAAATCCATAAAACTCTGTTTTAGTTGCTCTGAAGGCAGTACAGCTTATATAATAACTGTGATATGTTCTGGTTGAACTGACAAGTTACTTCTGCTCACCAACGCAGCATCGATGTAACGCAGACAACTCCTGCATAAATATTTTTAAGGCTCACTTTAAGAAAACAAACAAAAACAAAAAAAAACCTGGATCATTTTACAGTATAAATCACATCACATACAATTTGTCCTGTTGTGAATGGCAGTAAAATCATGAAAAACTATCAAACACTTTGACCTATTTTTTTCTCTCTCTCTCTCTACATTATATTTTGGTGACTTGTTCTTCTTTTATAAATTGAAGTCGGTGTGCATCATTCAATAAGATTTTCCTTACAGAGTATTTAAACAGCACTGTCAAAAAAGACAAGAGATTTCCTGAAACGTTGCGTTTGCTTCAGTAGTCAGCAGGGGGCACCGTTGAGTCACGAGGAATTGTTAAAATATATTCAAAATTCATCCTTTTATTTTGGCTCTAACATTGTTTTTCATCCTGGTGAAACTCCATGCAGAATTGCGCATGTAAGATGGAGGGTTTGGTTTTCACAATTCACAGTCTGATCACCCTTAAGTCTAAAATAAAAAAAAGTACAACGGCATAAGTCCAAATCCTGAAACCGGCTGATGGTTTCACTCAATATGCTTTTTTTTGTTGTTTTTCGGTTTTATAGTGTTTCTGTTTAGTTTTTAAATAAGGTATCACTCTTGCTGCTCTCCTATTGGTCAACAACGGCAGGCTGAAAGAATAATCATTAAAAAAAAAATTTGTGAAACAAAAGGACACGTTTGTTTTTCTAGGTAATATGAACCTCGACAGTCTTTGCCCTGACAGACTGAAGGAGTGATCTTCTGCCCATGAGGCGCGATAAAAATGATGAAGCTCTTCAGATTTGGGATTCTCCTGTGATCTGTCCACTCCGGGAACCCTGCAGGGAAACAAGCCACATCATGAGGAAAGACTTAACAACGCTCACCAGATTTCAAAATCAACTGTTACGACCCAACGGACAGCAGTACAGATCACCATGCACTGCAAGATGTATGAAATATGACACTAATTATGATTTACAGTACAGATGTTCCATTTCAGACCTCACCAGGTAAGTCTTTATATACAAATAATAATAATAAGGGTTATCGAAACCGTGATCGTCGACGCTTGGGCACAGTGTTACTCACTAACTGATGTTACATTTTTTCCCTAAACATTCAAGACAAGAGTCTTTCCAAATGCAAGTTTCAAAGGCAAAACTTTGGAAGAAGGAAAGGAAGAAAGAACGTTTCAACAATGACTTAGACAGTGATAATCGGTGTGTTATTTTACTATGTTACATTTGACATGAGACAAATTAAATCTTGTTATTCATTTTGGTTTTTAAAGGCGGAGCAAATGTTACCATGGGACTCAAGATTTACCGTATCTTACACCGGCCAATAAGAAGACAGAATCTCCCACAGTCCGATTGTTGCTTTGAAAAATGCCAAAAACAAACATCAACGATAGTTTAAATGATCTTTTTTGGGGAGGTTTTGGGCAAATTTACTTTCCTTTTTGCTGAGGTTTGATGTCTGAACTTAGAGAAAACATTTGGAACAATAAGTATTTTTGACTACTGTCTGGTTTTAGATGTTGATCATGAGTTATACCTATGCAGAAACTCAGCTTTTTTTAATAAAACGCCTTAAGCGGAAACAAATAAATAGCCCATCAAAGGCAGGAAACAGCACGTACTTGAGACTGACTGCTGGACGGATTGGTGCTGCTGAAGTCTGAGTACCTCTTCTTCTGTGGCGTGCAGACGCAGGAAAGGAACTGGGCGTACTCATCTCTCACCTGCAGGGGGCAGCAGAGCCACAGGGGAAAATATTCAACGCGCTGTGCATTGTTCCAATCCCATATTTACAGCATTTTGGAGAAGCTTTCTATCTAAAACACTTGATCTCTTTTTAAAACCGCTGGTCTGGTTTTGAACTTAATCCTTTTCCTCCCGGCACTATTCACTCCCACAAACATCTTCTGGATCCTTCCTACCTGTTTAGACAGCAGGCAGTGCATGATGAAGACCAGGGCGCCCTGCAGGCTGTTGAGGACGGTGAAGATGTACGCGACCGCCGTCATGCCCTCGCTGAACAAGAAGGCTCCAAACACCCACATCAGTCCCAGGATGCACATCTGGGCGATGGCGGTGACTGTGAAAGCTCTGCGGGGCGAAACGACAAATCAGACAGGCGGGACTCGGAGGAGAAGAGAACGCAGACGAAGATTTCTCATTCGTGACTCAGACGTTGCCAGAGTCTGTGAAAAATCTCCGAAGACAAAAAAAATGCCACTACTGAGACATTTAGCATGTCTTTAGTGAAACCTTTGCAAAAGTATCCAAACCTCTAAGGTCCTCGCATGCAAAAATGAAAAAAAAACATGAGACTTTTTTTAAAATTATTTGTAGAAACCACCTTGTCATGGGTCATTGTCATGCTGGGACCTTTGTCCCAGTTTAAAATCTACTGCAGCCTAAACCAAACAGGAACTAACAACTGAATAAAAAAAAGAAAAAGAAAAAGTCAGGAAATAAACCTGGATTTAAGGATCCAGTGAAAATATTTGCTGATTATTAGCTTCAGTTTGTAATTTACTGTGATTTGAGAAGGCGATACCGCTTGAACCTTTTTGCTTTACAATCTTAAACTCAAAAGGAAACAGAAAGAAAAAACAACACACAAAAAACACACGTATGTTAAAGTTCAGAACTTCTATTAAATGACATTTGATTCTTTTGATTTCTGATCTCAAATCGGTCAGACGAGAGAGTAGCTCTTACGGCTTTCTCTCAGCAGTGGATTTCATTTTTCTAGTCTTCCAGAGTTTTGGAGATCATAACTAACAGCCGCCCCGTCTTCAGATTCTCCTATGCAAGTTGTGACTCTCTGGACCCCCAACTGTGGCTCCTAAATACCAAATAAGGAAAAGTTTTTGATGAGGAAGTTGTTGTTTTTGGAATTTTTTTTCTGGAAATTCTTATGCAAAAATCAGAATATAAAAGTATCAAGCTTTGAACTATGCTACCTATTCCCATTTTCACATAAAAGTCTCATCTCATTCAGCATATTTTCTTTATTTTGTAAAAGGTAATTCACTTTGTTCTAAAATAGAAAAATAGAAAAACAATTTTTGTGTCATTTTGTCAGCCTTCATAGTTACGTTTATAAAATCGCTTTTCGTGGCTCTGCGTGTGTTTTATTTTGTAGCAGCGGGGGCAAAAGTGTCTCTTTGAATGGAAAAGGCTGCAGACCTCTGGTTTGGATGGACAGCTAAGTGAGTTTTAAATATTTATTTTTTATGATGGCTTGCACAGTGCTCAATCAGATTACACACAGATTGAGTCTATTTGCTAATTAGTTGTTTTTAGAAGAAAATCTTTCTCACTTTGGGTTTAAGACATAAAAGGGAGACGACACAATTTTGAAAACTTCCTATTTTCTTCATTATTACGACGTACTTTCAGTTGTGTTGCAAAATGTAAAAAAAAAAACAACTCAAAAGCAGAAGTCATAATTAAAGAAGATTAAGGAAGTGTCGTAATTTCCCCAGGGACAAATTATAACGTCGCTGCTTTTATTTGCCATTCTTTAATTTCGGCTTCTTCAAATTGAAAAGGTGCTTCGCGCTACATTCGCCAACTCAACCATCTGTTCATTTGCCCACCGACCCCTTTTTAAATCCCAATCTCACGCTTTATGGCCGCTTCGTCAAGCAGCTGCATTTTATGCAAGAGGATGATTCTGTTTTAATTTCTCAGACTGACCCCGGATCTATGAGCTTCTGCATCCAAGCAAGGACATTTTCAGACTCCAATTAATTTTACAGCTGAGAATGTGCTGTCGAAAAGGAGTAAAAAACACCCCCAAAGCTTATCAATGTAGGGAAACCGGATAGAAGTAGGAAAGCTTCTTCCTTTTTTCTGACTCAAATCGTTTTCCATCCATTGCAGAGGCGCTCGTGTATGACTAACTTTATTTTGTGCAGCTTGGAGAGGTCCGGGTTGAGGGTGGCGAACTTCTGGGCGAGCTTCCACACAGTGACGATGAAGAATAAGACGTTCACGGCGATGATGAAGCACACGGGGCCGAAGAAGCTCCAGATCAGGCCGTGCTCCAATGACAGCCAGCAGCTTTGGTGGCGAGATGAAAGAAGAAGAAAAAGAAGAAGGAGGGAAAAAAAAAAAAAAGCTCACGTCACAGAAGCTGATAACAGAAAGTGTTTGAATTCCACTGACGCAAAACAAGCAATACATGAATTTCCTGGTTTCACTTCAAAGCAATGATTTCTTTTATGTGCAGCATTTTCTTAAAAAAGCTCAGATGTTTACTTACTGGTCTTCAGTGCCGTAGCCCCCTGGTCTGATGATGGCGGATATGACCACAATCCCCAGAGGGACCCCGTAACCGGTGATGTACAAGTAGAGGGGCCGGACGGTGGCGTTAAACACCAGGACCACCATTCTGTAGAGCTGCACCCCTTCCAACAGCATCCAGCTCATTACGCCCAAGAAGAAGAAATGGAGCATTGCGGCAACAAACTTGCAGCCGCCCTGGAAGACAAAATGACACGAGATCTCTGAGAGGGGAAACAAATCGGGGAAGTATTATGTACTTTAGCACAATCACGTCACTATGTTACCTTCAGTTGCCGTACAAATGCTATCTGTATCAAAAATGGCTTAAAAGAAATTTGACTTTGCGATTTGATGCCTTGAAATTGAGTCTCTGTCTCTTTAAGAAGCTCCTGCTCTTCCCAGCCCTCTGCCTTCAGCACATTATTCTCAGTGAGATTCACATATTTCTCAAACATGCAGCAACTCTCCCAAGTATTTTTTTGATGAGGGGATAACAGCGCAACATAATATAAAATGCCAACAAATTGATTTAACATAACAGCCCCCTTGAAGTACCGTAATATTGTTTTGAAGTATCACTATTAATCCTTACCTCTGGTTTAGTTCGAGAAATCCCGACCAAGAAGACGAGGTCCGCCATAAAGAGGCAGACGCAGAGGTGCAGGTGGATGGTGGTGCGCGTCCCCTGAATGGACCGGCAGAACATGAACGTCAGGACGCTCAGCACCAGGCAGACGAGGGAGATGGTCAGGCCGATCTGGGTCAACAGTTGGAGCTGAAAGCTGGTCTGCGAGAGCACACAGGTCAGCTTACAATGACGAAATGCTGAACACATGACTCGTATTGAGTGAATCTGGTTGTTTACGTCGGAATCTCAATGGATCCTGTCTTGTAAAAATGCTTGACACCCCATAAAGTTGAAACCATAAACACTGTGAGAGGTGAGTGTGTCTGGAAAGACATTATTTATCATCAGTCCATTTGCCAGTTTACCATTTTGGTTCAGATTCGTGTTTTGGTGTAAATCTCTGGGAGGGTTTTTTTTTAAAAATCATTTTATGTCCTGTTGGTTCCCTTTGTGTTCATTTCTAATTGGTCGCTTTCCTGAGTTCCTCTAGGTTCTGCTGGTTAGTTTAGCCTGATGTGGTTCTAAAGTCAATCGTAATCTTCCCAGTCATTAAAACTGAGCCCATTACTTCATCAGTAGCTCTATTTCTTCAATAAAAACTTCATCTCAATACGTAACTGTGATCTTCTCGGCTTCAACTGGCTCAAATTCCTCCGCCAGGTTCAAACATATTTATATTTTCCCTAATGCCATGGACATATATATCTTTTTGCATCCAAAAACATTCTTTATTCTGCATAGTTCCCACATCTGGAAAAATAAAAAGATGCGCTTTGTCCTGGTAAGAATCATCTGTGACTTACCTTCATGGGATAAAGGGCCATCAGCACAGCAAAGCTGCTCAGATGTTTACACGAACACACAGTGTGTGTGTCGTTGGACAGCTCCTGGGAGCAGCCATCTGGGGACCAGACTCCTCTCTCATCCCAGTACGCGCAGATGTAGCTCACCTCAGGGGTCGGTTTTATGTCCTAATGTGAAAACCAAAATCAACAGTTAAATACAGAGGGTGTGGTATATTTATGCCTTCATTGGATTTCAGAGAAAGCTCTGAAAGTTGCCTGGTAAAGACTTCATATGGTGTTTTCTTGCAGATTCTCATTGTATTGGAAGGTGGGATTAGAGCTACCAGGAATGAGGATCTCTTAGGGTGTTTTCACATCTTTATCATCTGGTACACGTGGTTCAATTGTGCTATTGTCCACTTCCTGCTTGCATATGACGGCGAACCGCACCAGAGTTCACTTCAATTGAACCAAAAATTGAAGTGAAGTAAACTGAGGGGTTTTTAGGCGAACCAGAGTTCGCATTTTTGGTTCGCATCGGAGTTTGGTATCGCATTCACACGTCCCCAAAATGAACCAAACTTTCTAGACAAACGAATGGGAGTTCTATTTAAGTGGACCAAAGAAAAAAACAGGTTGGACCTACCTTTAGATGTCTGAAAGTAATGTTGACAGGACTGTGCAGGTTCTGAGTCGATGGGTTGGAAACCACGACAGAGACGACTTTGGAGAAGACCTGGAAGGAAACGGCGTCTTTTTCTTTTTCTTTCAGGTCCTCGAAAGACGTGTTTACAGACCCCTCCAGGTTCTTGTAGCTCAGCAACGCGGCCAGAGCGAAACCTGTTTGGGAGACTCAGAGTTAGTTTATGTTTGTGAAGATGAGCGTGACCTGTTATTCAGAGTCAAGCCTTCACCAGGATATGGGCCTTTGCCAGCTGCTGTTGTCCAGTCAGTGTTGAGATCAGCGTGTTCACCGGTCAGATGGATTTGTCCGGTTGGGCGGGTAGCTCCTCTTCGAACTGTAATTTTTGCTTCTGTTTTGACAAGCACGGCACAATGTTATTGTCATTATTATAATTACTATAAGCCATGAGCACAAGGGTAGAAACATACCTGTTTCTTTGGTCTCCATTTTGGTGTCGTTGGCTTTGAGCTGAGGACCAATCAGTAAAATCGACTTCTCCACAGCACTGAGCAGCCCAGTCACGCCTTTACTGTTTTCCACGGATCCAGGGGACAGGATGGTGTCAGTCGCTGTCAGAAGTTTCTGACAGAGACAGAGGACGGAGACATTTTTTTAAACCTGTTCTATTTCCTTTCGACGTGTTGAGTCACATAAAAATGACCAGATGAAGGTTATATTTGTTTTATTTATCATTGTAAAATGATAAATAAATAATTTTACAATAAATTCTGATTCTGATGTCCAAGACTGATGCAATAAAATACATTAGAGCATGTAACTGCAGTGGTGTAATAATAAAAAACAATCAACGCAAAAATAGAGAACTGTGTCATCGGCATAAGGACGGAATTGACCTTTGAGAAAGAAGAACTGAACAGGGTCATCGCAAGCCAGCTGGGTCATCTAAGCTCACATATTGATAAAACTTTATTTGACAGGATGTGCAAAAGACTGACATGACGCTGTCATAAACGTGAAATATCACCTGTTATGAACATGAAGGAGTCTTTATGAATGTCTATGAAGTGTCGTTTGATAAATAATGACACTTCCAATGCAAAGTTTCTCTAAACGTTGCATTAAAAGTGCCAACGTCGTATTATTTTGTAAATAATGACACTTTATAAATGTGCAAAGCTGGTCGAAAAGTACCCTCAGAGAATTTGCAGTGGTAACTGCAGCAAAAGGTGGTCCAACTAAGTTACTCAGAGCTTCAAAAGCAAATGCATACTTTACTTTTGGAGTTTTATTTGTAAATATGCGAAAACTATAAAGTTGGGACTTTAAACGGACTTTCAATGCAACCTTCAGAGCAACTTTTCATTAAAAGAGTCATTATTTACGAATGACACTTATGTTGTGTCATGTTTAAGACAGTGTCGTGTCAGTCTTATGCGCGCCCTGTTAAATAAAGTGTCACCCAGATATTTTCTGGTTCCTCCTTCCTCTCCATGAGCTTCTGTGGTTACATTTTCTTGAGGAACTTCTTGGAAAAAACATTCCTCAACTGCAGTTTTTTTTTTTAATTTACCCTTAGCTAAATAAGATGTCAGGATACTCCACGCATTGCAAGTGACTTATCTGAATGAGGACGAAACAAGAAATCCATCAAAAACAGACAAAGCTACAGTTGTATATAATTTTCCAAAGGACAGAATCCTGTGAAAATGCAAAGAAGTGTTTAATTGACATCTAAAATGTGCTTTGTTGACCTATTGTAATTTATTTGTAGTTTTTGAACTCTAGACATATGTTCTTTTTCATCAAAAACCTTAAATGACAACTTTGGTGAGAGTGGATAATGGCTGGAGATGACAGATTTTCTTGAAGCTGATTTTTTTTTTTTTTTTAAGCATAAATACATGTAACTAGTCCAAACGCAGCACCCTGTGGGTCACCTCTGGAGATGGTCAGGATGAAAAAAATGACCATACCCGATCTTAACACGGCTTACTCTCTCAAGGAGGTCAACTTTAACCATAAGCAACAGTTTTTGTTGTTGCCGTTTTAAAATGAAGACCTTCATATGCACCTCCACGTCTGCACTTACAAAAAGCCACTCTCCACAGTTGATGAATTACCCCAAGCTGACTCGTTTCTCGTGCAGCTAATCTGCTTTTATTGAACGTTTGGTTTCCATTTGTGAGTCTTCTGAGGCTCGTTCCAGCTGGACGGTCACTCCCCTCACACACACTGGCGCTCAGGAATGTTTTCCTGCGCAACGAGCTTCTGCTTTGCACCGAAAGAAACGCGCAGGAAACCGGGAACCCGGAAGTGGGCTCAGAACGTGTGGGAGTTTGGGTTTTGTCGTTCTCCTGACCTCGAGCAGCGCGTCGCCGTCCGCCTTTCCACCGGCAGAGAAGCTCTGGTTGGACAGAGCCAAGCAGCTGTTCCTCATCATGGACAACATGGCCGCCAGCCCGTCGAACGACTAGGAGACAGAATCAGGAGATCAATCGGTTTATTGATCACTCTCAACACTATGAGGGCTGATGACGTATCCAGACGTACCTTCCCCGCATCGCTGTCCGCACCAAAGCTGTCGCACTCCAGCTCTGCGAGAAAAAAGGAAATAGCTGACTATTTACATGACATTCACGGCGTGTCTCATATCTGAACCCAGTTCTGATGACAGGCGAGTCAAAAGGTGTGATTGAAAATGAGACGGTCTCAGGCGACACTACCGTATTGTCCCTACTATAAGTCGCTCCTCAGTATAAGTCGCACCAGCCTTAAAATGCGTAATAAAGAATAAAAATAGGCTACATAAACAAGTCTCACCGGACTATAAGTCGCATTTTTGAGGGAAATTCATGTGATGAAATTCAACACTAAGAACAGACATGTCATCTTGAAAGGCTATGAAAACAGAATAGAGGCAACAACAAGCTGGATAATGGTACAGTATGCTAACGTTACATGACAAAACAACAAACTGAGAACGTGCCTGGTATGTTAGCATAATATATTAATAGTTATTCAGATAACTTTAGCATAAATAACATGCTAACAGGGTTACCAAACCATCCGTGTCTCTCCAAATCACTAAACGCAACGAAATCTTCCTCGGTGTCGCTTGTAAACAACTCTGCTAACTCCGAAGGAGGATAACACAGTCCTAGCGCGCCCTCTTGCGGTTCAGGGTGAAAATAACATGCGATGTGATATAATGATGTGTTCATTTCCACACATAAATCGCTCCGGAGTATAAATCGCTTCCCCGGCCAAACTATGAGAAAAACTGCGACTTATAGTCCGGAAAACACGGCATCTAGTACAGGAAGTAGATTAAGAATATCAAGAAGAATCTACAAGAAGACTGAGGCCGAGTGGCAGCGGGAAGAAACACAGCGTGGACGCTGCTTCCTTCTTCAGCTGTGAGAAACCGGTTCTGGCTGTGTGTCAGCAAACAGATCTGAAGATGAGAATCTATGTGACTTCTTCAGAAATACAGGCACAGATGCAACAAACCCCATAAACAAAAATCACAAGACTAAATCAACTAATGTTGAATAAATGTAATAACACCGTGACAGTATTTTGAGAACATAAGAATTTGAGAAATTTCTCAGTGTGATCCCTGGTACTTTTTGGTAGATAGAAATGGTTTATAAGGAGCAGTTGAACATTTTCTACGAAAGGCAGAGCAGCGTTCACACTCACTGGAGCATTTGGTTTTCTCCTGGCCGTAGTTGGTGTGTCCTGGGTCACATTTGCACCTATAACTCCCATCAAGGTTTTCACAGACACCTTTCTCTCCGCAAATGTCTTCGTGTTCCTCGCATTCGTCTATGTCTGTGGAGGAGATTGAAGGAGAGCCGTTTAGTCACGATTTGCAATTTAGGGCAACTCTGAGGCCCCAATGCATTGAGCCAGTTGTTCTCTTGCTGGCAGCACATTTAAGAAGATTGTCAATAGAGCACTTAGTGAAATGTTTTGTGATTAAAATGTTTATCCACAGAGTGTTGTTGGAAAATTGTGAAGAACAACCTTTTTTTGTCGTTGTTATTTCTTTGTGTTTGATCTCGAAAGTCATTCATCTAGTGCATGTAATTTATTTATTTCTTTTATTGCTGGTGAAATTTCTTTATTTCAGCAGCAACAACGTTCCCTGAGAGTTATCACAACAGTTTAACTTTAAAACGTTGGCTTTTCCTCAGCATGGGAGCATTTCATTGATAACCAAGACTAGTTGCCTTTATTTACAATTTTAAAAAATCCTTGGTATTTAAAAAAAAATACATTCCTCCTTCCTTCCTACAACTAGTCTGAATTAAATCCACCAGTGCCCTCCAGGGTTTTGTCCTCGCGACCTTACTTGGTCTGCCTCTCGTGTGCCAATAGCTGTCGGAGGTATTTCGCTCTGCATAGCAAAGACGACAGAGCCTCTTGATTTTCATAAATCTTCCCAGCTTCTGTTATCGTTACTCCTCGTTTCAGCGTTCATCAAGTGGGTTTCTGTTGAATAAACCGAGTGACGTGATGTCTGAGCGCCTCTTGAGAGTAAAGTGTTTTGTGTATGCACGGACTGGAAGGTCTGTTATCATTTCATAATGAGTTGATAGCAGCGGGAGGGAAGGTGGGCCTGCAGTTTTTTGTTCTGGTTGGTGGAAGGAAAAAGTCGGTGGGAGAACAGAAGGAGAGTCTGGTTTTTTCCGCCCTCTTGGATCGTATTTTGCTCTTTTTCCAGATTGCGTAAGTACACCTATCAACCAGGACTGAGAGAAGAGAGGAAATAACACTGACCTCTGCAGTGTGCAGTGTTGTTGCTGGCGTCTGCACTCTCGTAGCCGGCGTTACAGACGCATTTATAGTGCCCAATGACATTATTGCATGTGCCATGAGGACCGCAGGTTGTATTATTGTCCAAGCATTCATTAATATCTGATGGAGGAGAAAATGCAAACAGAGTTAAGAGCAATTTCTCAGATCCATTTTCAGCGCAGTGGATACCATACTTACCAGTGCACTGTCCCTCCTGAACAGTAAAGCTGGGAATCCCTTTTTTATTGTGGAAACCAGCAGAACATTCACAGTAGTAGCTGCCATTGGTGTTGATGCACTTTGCGTGGTTCCCACAGAACTCAGGAACCTCATTGCACTCATTTATATCTGCAATTTTGAGACATAGTGTTTGAGACGTACAGCAAGCAGGGAGGAGGTCGAGATAAACATTTCTGCTTCCTGATATCAGAACTCTGAAGGAGGCTGGTGTTCCGTAAGTGATGCCGGTATAACTAATAACAAATCAACACTTTTCAACCATACCTCCATTTCTGAATGACACTTCTAGCCATAATCACTGTATCACAGAAAACAGAAGAACAAAGACAAAGTGGTCTGTGAGAACTGTACCTTCGCATTTGCCGTCATTGTTTTGGAAGCCGTTGCTGCACTGCAGAAACACGGGTTTCTGCAGTGCACACACAAACCCTGTGGAGACAAAGAGACCGAATATTACTTTATACGTGAGTTTTCTTTTTTATTACCTCGCACCACTTGAGGGTACGCATGAAAACAGAAAGCTCGAGCCCTCCATAAAGCATAAAGCATTTAATGCTGGGAAGCAATAACGTTTCTGTGGACGGCCATTAAAATTTATTGCTGATTAATCAGTGAAACGTTTTTTGCTGTTCTGGCACTTTTCTTACAGTGAAAATGTCCCTAAATTTCTCTGCAGTTGAATTGCCACTGGACTTTTTCTTATATCCTGTTCTCTTTCACTCAGAAAGTTCAGCTGTACATACCCTCCCTGCAGCAGATAACTCTCTTGGCGTCAGCAGTTTGATGAAGCAAAAAAAATAATAATTTCCCCCTTCTAACAGCAAGCACACTTTCTCAATGCTGAAACTACTCCAATAAAAAAAAAAAGAAACACACACACACACAAAACTTCACAGCAGTTTATGTGAAGGCTTGTTTGTAAGCTTGTCAACGATTGCAAACTAGTAAAAGCGTATTTATCAGGACGTTCGTAGCTGTTTGTGACCGGATTATCTTATCCTTTCAAACACTTCATAAAGGAGAAGAATTCAAAATAGAAATATAAGTTGCTCAAGAAACATGAACTCTATCCCAGTGAGAGTCGCGGCTCCAGCTCTTGCTGTCTTACTCTTGTTCCATAGGTCAGTTCCTTTGGCTGGATGCGCCGTTTTCAGTGGATTTATGCAAAGGTTATTCACACATACTGCAACCCACCACAGTCTTAAATGTAAATCTTTCTAAATGCTTGTAAAAATGGATAAACCTGAGACTGGAGATGTTTCAGCATCGCACAAGTCTGCTGGAGGGGTTGGAAAGCCAAATGTTTTATGATGTTTCATTAAAGACGAGACGTCATGATAGTTACGCGTCTCTAGCAGATGATTTATTTACATGAATTGTCTGAGAATTTATGGTTAGCACATTTTTTTCTTTTTGTTTTGTTTTGTTTACTTATTTGCCAAATGATGGGAGCTAAAACAGAGCTCCTTAGTTTTTAAACTAAAACATCTGTCCTACTCATTCATTTAGAAAGAATGAGTCAGATACATGTTTGCCACCAATATAACAGTCAGCTGACATTTAAATCAGAACTGACTTTAAGAGCTATTATTTTAAAATACAGAGAGATTTACACAAACAGTTTTTATGTGCATGCAGTTTTGAATCAAGTAAATTATGCATTTTATGAATTTGCATTGAAAAAAAACTAAGCAGAGTTGCATGCAGGAAACTGGTAGGTTAATGAAGATGTAAAAAAAAAAAGAGTAAATGTTGAAAATTAAAAAAAGAAGGATTATTTGTGGTCATAATTGTTGGTTAATTTAGCAATTGAAAAAAGTTTGAAAATGCTAGAAGTCTCCTTCTACCTTTCGATGTAGCAAAGCTGTAATATGAAAAAACACTGAATCCACAGCATGTGCTCTCGAACAGCGAGTCCTGGCCTCGCCGTGAACTTATAGAACCGACAAACTGATTAAATCCAGCATTTCTGCAACGCTGGTTTTTATCTTACGCCGGGTTCTGACAGCAGAGGTTTAAGCTGAATGGGAGCTATCGAAACTACAGATTTTCTAGCCAAATGTCTCGCATAATAAATTCCCTTGATGTGCATTCTGGGAAAGAGAAACCGATGAGACGACGGGAGTTGTTACAATGACAAAGTAAGAAATGGGGTGAGAGAGCATGAGAAAGAAATGCTGAGGGACAAACACAAAGAGAGCAAGCTGGTGGAAACCGTCTCAAAAATGATATTTCTGTCACACAATACCATGACAGACTGGAGTAAATGATGAAGTTTTGTCTTTAATTTACCAGCAGAGCAGAAATTGTGGGTTACATCTGACCATGACTGATGTTGTTTGTAGAGTTAAAAGTCATTGGGCTCCTGATTACAAGAAAAGCAGGCAGAAGAATCAATACATAAGTTTTCTAGAACATGTCTTGTAACGTGAAGTAGGTTAAAAGATCTCAGAAAGCAATTTATTGTGTCAAAAAAAGTTTAAAAAATCAGCCTGGAGAGGGTCAAGAAGTCATTTTGATAATTTCGGACGCTGACAAGTCACAGCGAGAGAAATAATCTGCAAATGGAGGAAACAGTGATGGACCTTCCCAGGAGTTGCGAAAAGAGCAGATCCATGACTCACTCAGGAGGTTAGGAAGGAACATCTACAGCTCTGCAGACCTCACTCTCCTCGTAGTCATTGAAAACGTTAAAGGCCCGACAATGAGAACGAATGAGAGACCGGTTCAAAATGGCCTCCACGGGAAAGTCTAAAGCTGAAAATCATTGCTGATCAAAAGCAACGCAATGAGGAGAAAACTGTGCTAAAGGTAAACACGTCAGTAAAACAGCAATGACACTGTTGCTAGGACGCTAACGTCAAATCCAATAGTCATTGGATTTGCACTGCTGCTGTGGACGTGCAGCAAAGAACATAATTTCCTCACGTTGCCATGTTTTCAATGACTTTGTTTATAATTCTTGGAGAAGACATTTGTTGTGAATTGGCACTAAATAAGTGAAACTGGCTTGAATTGAAACAGGACATCGGAACAGAAGGTTTTTCATGCTGTAGCCAAGAAGGACATCTGCTTCAGTGACGGACTGCTTCATCCCAGTCGCACAAAGGAGCGTTACTGCAGATCCTTCCTCCCAGCAGCTGCAACAAACTCAGTAATTTGTGTTTACCACTCTGCTGTTGTTTGCAGTTTTTCGATTTCAACATGCATGTCATTGCAATTATTACTCTGGTTGTCATTTTCTGACACTAAGATTTGCTTGGCGGTCTGAAACTCCGAGCGCCACGCACGACCTGTTGCAAGATGTCACCTTTTTCAGGATGTGATGAAATTCATTGCTTTCGTCTGCCTTCGAAACCTCCAAAAGGAAGACTTTTCGCTAAAAATAAGCTTCCCTCCCACCTTTAATCAGCGCTGCCAAAAAAAAAGAGAGAGAGGGGGGAACTTGGTAAAATCTAGACGAGAAACTGAAGAAAAAAAGCAACTTGACCTAGAAGCACATAAAAACCGCAAACTGATTTATCAGTCCTCAAGGAAATGGAAACCATGCCGTCTGTACAGAAATGTACAAACACAATGATTCTTGCTTTCAACTCATTTCACTCCAATAAAGATAAGAGTCGAGATTATTTCAAGCTGCAGAAGATACGTCTAGTCTGTTGCACTGAATGTACTGGACCGGGACTGCAGAGCAGACTGGGAAATTGGTCACCACACAGTTTTTGACAAAAGGGCCAACATTTTATGACTATCAGCCTCGCCCCATCTTTATTTGATGTTAATAATTAACCAGTCCTGGAAACGAATGCACATTTACTCGCATGCAAAACACTTGACTTTTTTTTCCTCCTCCGTATTTCCAGACAAACGTCAGCCGTGACACACCAAAAGGCGAACCGCCCCTCGAAACAGACTAACGCCGGTCACATTTCCATGACTGAAAAGCAGTGAATGAAACTGCTAAAAGACGGAGCTCCGGCTCACATTCCAAGATCCTTTCGCTGTGTTTCCCTCCTTTGGGCCACAATGAGCCTTCTGTTGCAGTGTGACAGCGCTGGGATCCCGTAATGTCAGCCAGAGGCAGACCAGACAGCGTTTCACTGAGCCAGAGTGAGAAAAACTGTGTCTGGGTTTGATTATGCGGTGAAGTGGTCTGCAGATGGGAACAAGGGCAGAATGTGTTCGGAGCTCAGATGCCAATTTAATTTCTTTGGGGTTTTTGTTTTTATGATTTTATTCCCAGTGTTTCCCACAACGCATTGCATGGGTACGATCAAATGCACCTTTAAATCTTAGCTGTAGGATTGTATGATTCTGGTGTTTTTGGCTGAAAAACAATATCCGTAAACATCTATTAGTTATTATTTTATGTTTATTGTACCTTATTTACTCATACAAGCTTGTCTTCCAGCTTTATCTTCATCACAGCCTTCAATAAATAATTATAAATACTAACTGTGCATATAAATACCTAGTTGAAGCTTGTGTACAAATGTTGCAGAAGCAATAGAGGTAGAGGTATTTGGTCAAACTGTGGCTTGCTTTTTGTAGGGTATAATTTATGACCTACCTTGCGCGTGTTTACTGTTGGGTTTTTTTCCCCAACAAGTGTTTTACATATTATGTTGTCAACTCACATTTTGCTGATAATCTCTCAAACTCTTCAGCTCAGGAAGAGGAGGAGTAAAGAATGTGCCTTTTTATCGTCTTCAGCAGGTCTGGAAAACGGCGGTCCTTTTTCCACTTAGCTGACTCGTATGTGGCAAAAACATCCAATATGGCTTCCCGCTACAAGTCCAGAAATGGGAGCAGATCAAATCGAGCTCCTTTGGGTGTCAGGTTTCTTCATACCTAAGTACAAATTGACCTTGCAAAGTCTAAGTGTATTTAAAAGCTTTGATTCGTGATTTGGGTCTTTTTTTTTTCTTGCTATCATTCAGCTGTTTCATGATGACATTTGGTGCTCTGATGATGTTGCATAAAACCATGTGAGGTGGATCCCATGACATCCTTTATCATGGGATCCACCTCAACCTTTTGTGTTTTATGATCTCTTTGGTCTGAGCTGAACCTTCAAAGACACATAAAGGCAATTACAAAGCCGGCCTTCCATCACCTGAAGAACATTTCCGGGATTAGAGGGGCTATCGTGCCAACAAACTGAATCACTGCGTTCATTTACATCACAGCTGCAATCCCACTTGCTTAAAGTTGCTTTAATTCTTAGTATTTGGACCATTAATCAACAGATTTGATGTATATTCGATTTTGAAGATGACATTTGACAAAATGTAATGTTTTTTTTTTATTTTTTTCATAGTTTCCAGGTGTAAAGCCCTTTGAATTGCCTTGTTGCTGAAATGAGCAACACAAACTTGACTTGATTGTAGGGTGTGAAAACTTTACAGCGTTCTTCAGCATTAAGGAAAAATTTCCATCCGCAATTCAAAAGTACTATTAAAATAATTTACTCCGTTATAAAGTAAATGTGGAAACTTTGCAGACGGCGGTCATAAAGTCGGCTACGTGACTCCTCTGCCTTGCATCGTCAACGTTTGTGTCATGTAACTTAATATCCGCGATGAGCACTAACAAAGCTAACAAAGCCTCCCCCTGTGTTCACTGTCACTCATTGTCTCATTTAACCTGGGAAGTGAGGCATGTCGGACGCTTAACAACCATTCCAAGATAGAATGATCTTTTCAAGGCCGAGATGAAGCTGCCAAAACGACCACGCTGAAAAGGAGGCCGATTGTGCCTCAATCATCCGTGTCATCGTAATAAATCGTGTGGAGCCTCGGTGGAAATTGAACACAAAGATATATTTGGGTGTTATGCGTGTGAATAAGTGTCGGCAGACCTCGTCAGGATCTGATTCGTGCAGCACAGACCCACTGTTGATGGGAAGATCTCAGTTGGAACGAAAGCAGGCCGAGATAACGCCGGGTGATTCACGAACATGAGCTAGCATGCCGTGGCCACCGAGTCTCCAGAAAACACAGCTGCCTGAAGTCAGCGTTTCTCTCAAAACATTTTGTCAGGTTTAGTCTGAGATTTATCTGATAGGATTTATCAATCATGGCAAAAGAAAAACTCTGATATTTCTAAAATTTTTGGACAATGTTGCTTGTATTGAAGAAGTCAAATCCATTGCTGAGATCAGACACAAACGTAAACGGCAGCTTCTTTTAAATTCAGTTTATTCATACAGTACAGGTTAACTATGAGCCAACCCAGTGGGATACAGAGATACAAAGACCAGTTTTCCAATTGGTCTTCCTCAGTGGCTTTTAAATTGTTCAGTGACAAAACATTTCCACACTACAAAAGTACAAACGTATGAAAAACAAAAAAAACTCTTTCCACTCCTGATAGTTTGCGTCACCTGGCGTATAAGAAGAACACACACACACACCACACAGCTCTTTCTGACATCCCCCCCCCACACACACACACATTTTGGCATGTTTGAAAAAAAAAAAGAAAAAAGAGTGATGTCATTTCAATCTCCTGACAGTTTCGATGCTGAGCGGGCAGACGCAAACGATGAACATTTCACACAGTTTCCTAACAAGCAGCTCCAAAAAGTTTCTGTTCTCTCTATTTTCTGAATTAAGTGTCCGTAGGAAGTAGCTGACTCCACAGTTACTACAGATGGCCTTGTGCTGTGATTAACTTGTGATGTGTTTCTCAGAGTGCAGCTTTCACCAGCAGTAAAAAAAATAATAAAATAAAACAGGACTCGTATCGCGACTTTACGAGAAAACAATGACAACAACATATTAAGCTGCATGCATTCACTGACCGTGTTTCTTAACTGCTTGTGTTAAATCAGATTCACAATCTGTCACATTTCATAGGTCAGCGATTTCAAACGAGGATCAGGACTGTGACGAATGGCAAGATAAAGTTTTCATCAAATGTTTTAAGATTGGATTCAATTCTACATGAGATTCAACATTTTTATAGCAATTTATCTCTAATGTTAGAAATAAACATGCTATTTTACATTTGTATGAACCGGTTGGCTTACTCATAAAAGATGCAAGTGGAAATGAAAGAAGCAGCGCTGCACTGAGTAAATAGGCGCACAAATTGGTGAAGGAGTGGACTGACTGGAGCTGGGCATCAAATGACTAAGGTATGTAGGGCGACCTTTGACCTTTTGCCTTCAGTCAAGCAAATAAAAATTGAATAGGGAAGCAACTGTTACATAATCTGTTGGAAAAACAATGACTGCTTATAATTTTTTATAGATATCGACAAAAAAAAACTTTGTTGTTGGGTTTAAGGAACCACCATTTTTATTTCTAAATTCAGCATTTTTCCCAGTAACGTGGGTGGATAAAGTTTCTTCTATGGGACGTTGATATTTGTATATAAATAAATTAAAAAATCCTCTAAAGTTTTTGTTAAAAATTAAGCTAATTCCTGTTTGGTCTCAAGATCTTTATCTTTAAAACTAATTCTGATTCTGAGAAAAAAACGCGTAGTTTCCAACTTAATGACCAAAGAAAAAAAAAAGACCTAAAAAAAGATTACTTGTGGTTTTTAATGTATTCTTTTGTAGATATTTAGTGAAAATTGTTCATCAGAAAAACGTAAAACTAAAATAAATGTAAAAAAAAATACAATATTTTTTGGTTATATGTTGCTTTTTTCTAAAGTTACCAAGATTCAGTGTGTAAAGTCCAAACAGCCGGCTGCGGCGCCGGAGCCGCAGGCTGCAGACCCCCCTGAGTTCACTGTTACTCCAAAGCAAACACAGCAGCTTGTCTCATTCAACCTGCTATGAACATTTCAAAGGCAACTTTCTGAAACCCAAACCGAGCATCAGAATGGAGGAGAAAAGGGATTTGAAATGTGGTGCGGTTGTTTATTCCAGACATGCTGGTCTTAGAACTTCAGAAACTGATGATCTGGGGATTTTCACACACGGCCTTTTCTTTCCTTGTTGATGTTTGAGGTCGGAGAGGAAAAGGAAAACTGGCTGAAGATGATAGAATGGCAACAGCAGCTTAAATAACCTCTTATTACGACCAAAGTACGTAATAAAACAACAGCCGGTGCCACTTCCTTCAGCTCGGAGCAGAAATTTGAGGCCATAATTTATAAGGGCTCTCTATAGTTGGACACTAAGACGGAAAAAATGTTGCCAGTTCCAAGCGGTCTCGATTTCTGCAGCAACGTTGCCATGTTATGCTCAGAAATGATCTTTAATGAGATTGAGAAAATTGCTAAAAGGGAAGTCCCTTCAAAAAGTTTGCTGACGATTTCAATGCTCAAAGCTCGATTCTGTGTATTTTAATGTTCATTGCTAAGAAAATTACAAATGTTAATCGGAAGAATGTGAAGTAAGCCAAGAGTAACTGAATAGAAACAGAGACGTTAAAGGTGTGTGATGGGAAAAGTGACTGCATTTTTACAAATGAAGGTGAATCTTTTCAACATGGCAGCCATGGATCCATCAGACCATGCATCAGAGATTCAGGCTGGTGGTGGTGGTATCATGGTACGGGGGTATTTTCCAGCTGTACTTTGGGCCAATTAGTACCATTTGTAATTTTGTTTTAAACACCACAGACTATGTGCCGAATGCTGACCAAATACATTGTTGTAAGATCTCTGTGCGCCTTATGTATGATGGATACACCGTGCCACAAAGCTCACATCTTCTCAAAGGTTTTTTTTTAATGGGATGATTTCATTGGAGAGCAACAACCTCGACGGTCACCAGATTGTACCTTAGCAACTTTAAGAAAAAGTTGAAGATTTAGCCAACAAACTCAGTAATTCTGTCCTTTTAAAATAATATAATATCAGGTACTTCTGAAGGTATGTTCCTCTAACCAACCCACACTGTATGTTTTTACATCTGGAAAGATATAAACATAGATACACAACCGGCTAAACAGCCTTGGTCAGATCTCAGCTTAAAAAAAAAAATGTCTTCCCACTAGTGATTCAAAAGTTCAGCAGCTGTGGTTTATTCAGATTAGCCACAATTTTCACAGCTTGAGCCTCATCCACAATCCTTAAAGATCCTCTTTGCCTAAAAAGCACATCTGACTGGAGAAGGTCACTTTGCCGACAATTTGGTGACAGTTCACAACTGGAAGCCTGGGCTAAAAAGAGCTGGAAGCAATTAAAACTTTGAGGAGTTATTCCTGTCGAGTTCTGTAAAGTCCCACTTATCCTCTTAAAACTCTTATTTTAATTGAAAGAGTTGCTTTCTGATTGTGTGACTCTACTTTTATAGAAAGTAGAATCACACTTTCTATAAAAGTGTGATTAGCGAAGAAAACATAAAGGTACTTGACTAAAGTATGAGATCATTTTGTAAACTGTGTTTAGTTGTGGTTTCCCCATGCACACAGACGGGAACATTAAGACACACAAACTTCAATGAAAGACTCACCTAAAATCAGCAGCGCTTTGCCAAATCCCATGTCAGAGGCGATAAATAGATCCACACAGGAGATTTCTTCCAAATCAACACAAACTATCAATGAGCTTCGATTCAAACGGAAAGACTGGATCCTCTCACAAAGGCTTTCGAGTCGATTTGTAGTCCGAGGGTCACGGAAATCCAAAAACAGACAAACGGAAGAAACTTAAACCCACTCCTTTAAGATGAGAATTACCAATGAGGCACTAAAAACAGTGAACAGTCACCAGCTTTCTTTCTTACTGATTCAGACTTTCAGTCTGAGCACACTCCTCTCTCTCTCTCTCTCTCTCTCTCTCTCTCTCTCTCTCTCTCTCTCTCTCTCTCTCTCTCTCTCTCTCTCTCTCTGTCTCTCTTTGTGATTCCCCTCCCCTTTTCTCTCTGGTTTTTTTCTGCCTCTCTTTTCCTCCCTTTCTCTAATCTCTGCGGACTTGTGTCCCTCAACAACGCTCTGTCTCAATCTCTTCGTCTTTCACTCCAAAACCTCTCCTTGTGAACAAGTCGTATCACACTCGTCGTATTACGTTGCACACACACACACACACGCACACACACAGTCGCACACATACACACCTTCACTGGCCTCTATTTCAGGAGCTATTCACAGCCTTCCCAAAAAAAAAAAAAAAAAAAGAAGGGTGGGAGGATGTTGGGGGGTGGACAGAAGTCGAAAAAGAGTGTGATGACTAACATTTAATCTAAACAGCTGCTGCATGAGAGTTTGAGAATATCCAGTAAGTGCTCTTATATCCGCTCACATTCTCCTCTAACGTCTCCTCTGCTTCTCCTCCCTCCTCCTTTTTCCCGTCTTTCCCTCGGCCGCATTCAGCTCTTCACCCACTTTTCAGTGCCTGCATTTCTCATCCCCCCCGGGACACAAAGAAAGCCGGCTGCAGACGGATGTAGGGGTTGACCTCTGCGAGGTTTCTCTGGTGTGCATTAGAGAAGGGCAGCTGGCTGGATGAGACGACGCGCCATGACGTGGTAACAAAGCTTAGATGTCCAGTTGAAAACTTGAACATCGTTCCAACGCTGGTATTTTAAAAGTAGTTCAAGAATTGCAAAACCGGTCCGTAGCCTTACAAGTCCAGTTTATTTGTGAAGGAAGCTTCACCGCATTAAAAACACACAACAGCGACCATTTACGAACGAAGCAGTAAATATGACATTTTGTTGAATCCTGTCATAACGAAAGTCATCAAGCAAATACATGACATGAAATGTGAAAAATGTTGACCCATGTTCCACTTATTGCTTCTGCAAGTTTGGTTCTGGTTCATGTATTTTGGTGCTTAGCTGTTCAGTGATTTATTGACTTCTTATTGACCTTTGGAGCAGATCTGTGAAGACACTGCTGCAGTGATCAATTCAACTAAAAATAAGCACATGTACGAGTATCTCCAGATCTTGCTTCAATCCAGGAAATGACCTCAAGTGATAGGAAGCCGACTTTGTGACTGTGTTCCTGTGACTCTGCAGGTTCATCACGACGTTCAGATTTCAGACCTGATCTCCTGTTTCTAGCTGTAATAACTGAAGCTGTGTGCTGACTCTAGGTACCGTAATGATGATAATCATAATCAGTTTTGTTTCTGTTTAGCTGGAGAACGTTATGGCACCACACACTGATGTCCTTGGTGGCGTCGCATTTGCCATCTTAAATTCCTTAAAGTAGCAGATTTTATGCAGCTATTGTCTGTCTGAAATTCTACCAGTGGTTCTTGGAGGTAGTTTTTGTCTTTCTGAACATCCTCTGCTTTGTGTGTGGTGGAAAGATACACATGGATCTAAATCAAGCCTTGATTGTCACAGTTCAGGTTGCTTTAAACTTTTTTTTTATGAGGGCAATTTTCCCTTTTTAAGGAGTGGCTAAGAAAAAAAGGTGTCTCTAGATAGCAGGTCCATTTCTTGTAGGCTATTGTCTCTGCAACATTTCACTGTGTCTCTGCATCACTCATATAATTAGGTCATTAGCAGGACTGAAATAACTCCTATCGTCATTTGATTCAGATGTTTTGGACATGAGACACAAATTACCCTTGCGCTGTCACACAATATACCGGATAGAAACAAGACATTCAGTGCAACTCAATTCACAAATACTTCACTACCCTCAAAGGGAAATCAAATGTTGCAATGGCTCATTTTAGAAGGTACTCGGTACGGACAGGAAGTTCTCCTGTAGTGGTATTTAAATGCCTGACTTGCAGTCGCTGCTCTAATTCATCCCAAATGTGTTCTGTTGTGTTGCGGTCAGGATTCTCTGCAGAACAGACAAGTTCTTCTGTACCCGTCTACTGAGCACAAGGCCTCTGGGCCAAGGCTGTAGGATCTGGTTCCACCAAATTGTATATCTTTTTCTGAGACGCAGCAATGGCTGAAAGCTGTGCAGTAAAATGGTTTTGGAACTTGGGCGTTGCAGCTTTCCAAAGAGTTAAAGAGCGATAGAAGTTATAGAGTTGTTAGTGGTTGGTGAAAATAACAGCATTTTATTTTCTAAAGGAGGAAAGAGGTTTTTCCTTCTCACTCCCTACCAAACTGTAGGCTACTAGTCAGGCAACTTATCCTATCATCAGCGGATATAGTTGACGTAAACAACACCAGTAGTCATCTCACACACACACACACACACACACACACACACAAACCAGGGGAGATTCAAGGCTCTAATAATAAGGCCCATTTCATGGTTCATTGTCCAGGCATCAGAAAAGTGTGAGTAAAGTATATGCCGTAAAAGACACATGCAGGTCAGATCATTTTGAAGATAGTTGTTGATGTCGACATGACCTGCACCAACGGTGACTCATGAGCAGATAAAGTATCTGTGAAGGATGTGGAACCTAAAACACAAAGGCCGTGAGTCAAACCAGAAGTAGAAGAAGAAAAACAACCGGTTTTATCCAAAACATTGTGAGGAGGATTAGGTGCATCACAGCAAACTGTTAAAAAATATTACATAAAAAAAATAACTCAAACTTCTTTCCTCGTCGCCTCCTTGTCTCCTTCTCGTCGCCTCCTTGTCTCCTTCTCGTCGCCTCCTTGTCTCCTACTCGTTGCCTCCTTGTCTCCTCGTCTCCTACTCGTCTCCTACTCGGCCACTTTAATCTCAAAACCAACACAAACACAAGACCATCGGAAAACTACACACAGGCACCAGAACACATGGCCGTAATTTCAGAAGCAGCCCTGCTGCAAATTCAATTTGTCACCACCTGAAAGCATGAACCGCAGTATGAAATACAAAAATAAAGCTACACTAGCCGCGCACCACTGTGCTTCTGAAGCCTAGCATCCCCATATAGGAGCATTTATAGAGGGAAGAAAATGGTTAATACTAAGTGATGAGCTCAGGGTCCCTTTAGTGAGAAGATTTTGGGATTTTGCGCAAAAATCTTTACAGCTTTGCTTCTTTTTGAAATAGTCATTTATGACAAATGATCGTCTATCTGGAATCAATTGAGTGTTTGCATGGATCAGACAACATCAACTAACTTCACATTGTTTGCTCCCTTTGTTTCCTCCTTGGCTCGATCACTGATAACCAAACAGAAAAACGGGCGAGGCTGGTTTTAATGTGTGTCAATGAAATTACACAACAATAGCAGAACTACAGCTTTGTTTCTGTTGCTGGGCTTCCATCCAGGACAGTCCGGCACAGCCGAGGCAAATCACAGCCAGACACATTTTCCATTTTTGAAAATAAAAATAGAAAATATGCCTCGGGATTGTTTCCAATCATGTATTTTCCCACAACAGAGTGCTGCTTAGAGTAAACTGGGCTTCCGTGTCATCGGTAAGTGAGTTAATGTTAAGCTAATTCGCTTATTGACATGGGAAAGACAAATGGAAAAAAGAAAGTGAATTTATATTGGGGGGGGGGTTTCGCAGTGCCTTGAGAAAAGCATGGCAATGGAAGTTGTTCCGCGTTGCACCCACTAACTTCACTGAGATTGAGTTAATCGATTTTACACAGGTGCCAAATTGGGAAGTATGACATCCAATTTTTAACACTGTGCAAATAAAACAGCAAAACTGCATTCAACTCCATTTGCCCTGATATACATAAATAAAATCCTACATCTATAAACTTGACATTTCCTGCCCATTTGTTTGCAAAATAGCTGAAGCTCAGGCAGACTGAACTTCTGTGAACATTCAAGTCTTCACATAGATTTTCATTTGCATTTGGCCCTGTGCTTTGACTGAACTGTTCCAACACGGATGAGTTACATGAAACTCTTGATTGGTTCTCTGAGGAGCAATTTCCTTGACAGGCACATTATCTTTGAAAGTTTGCGCTTGTATTTGCAGCCCTCAGATAGCGGTTACTTAAGTCTCCAGGATGGAGTACTTTTCATTAACAGGCTTTCAAAGTTATGCACATGCGAACTCTATTTACGATTTGTTTAACTTGTTTAGATTAGAGTGGTTTTTCCTTCCACGTCATAATCTTGCACAACTCTGCATTGGCGTAAAAACAAAAGTACATTGAAATCTGCTGTTTATTTTATCCGATAACTTCATTCTTTAAATGAACTTGATCATTTTTAACTTTTTATATAAATAAATAAATAAAAAAGCTTTGATGGAAATGTCGACTGTGTTGTGAAAGAATCACGAGAAATAAGTCTGGTTTGGAAAAGAGGTGGAGGGAAGATAAAAACACCGCCTCAGCATTAAAAACCGGGTGAATTATTGTTTGTTATTAAATGGTAAAACAATCACCAGACGTCTGGTCTTTGTGAAAGAGATACTTTGGCTCCTCCATCGAATAATCTTTCCAGACGCTGATCAATAGCCCCAGATGGTTGCGGTTTATTGACCTGTTTGTTTGACATTCTCTTGTTACAGTCGCCTACAGAAAGTCAAACCAAATCTAAAGAAAATGCCCTTTTCCCTGCTTCCTACTTCAGAAGTTCCCTGCTCACAAAACTGACAGGTTTATAACTTGAACCGTTTATAACTTGTGCGTCTGAAAAACTTCCTTCATCAGTTGCCCTTTTGGTTTGGGTTCAGGAAGTAAAACAATCGGCTGTGCAAACTGTCCACATCTCCTACACCAGGTGGTGAGTTTTAAAGCTGCTTGATTGTTGCAAACTGTCTGCCGATGCGCAATCCTACTTGAAGAGTCATAAACATGCCTAGCTATGTGTGAGGAGGACAAGAATGCTTGAAGATACTGTAAACAACTAAAAGAGCGATAAGGATGCGTGGACTCAGAAAATGACGTGCATCAACACTTGTTAGAGAGGAAAACGGTTGCCGTTGCCATGGTCTCTGCGCTGTGTTCATAA